ATATGGCATCAGCCTGCCTCTGATTGTGTGCCTGTATACATCTGCATGTGTGTGTGTGTTTGAGTGTGTGTAACAGCATGAAAAAGGAGAGACCATTGGGAAGATTCAATAACCAACACATCAAAATCAGGTAATACCTGCTGGTCATTGTTTGATATCGTCATTCTGGTCATTGAGTATCTCCTTCCTCCTAAAAGAGCTTCACAGCTTGCATATTTTTTTCTTGAGTATCAAACTCTTCTTCATGAGGCAGAGGCATCAAATAGCTTCTCTTTCGTCATTATTTGTATATTTTATATATGAAATCAGCCAAGGGCAACTAATTCAACAACAGCAGTTGGCAGCAACAGAGACACATGCATCCCTTCTAAATATCAGAATAGAATAAAACATTGCTGAATTTCAAACAGCAAGCCTGCTCTTTGGTTAAACCACACTTAAGCTTCCTGCTTCTGTGAGGGTAATGTTAATAACTTTACACACCTGGCAGTGCAGTTTTCTTGCCCACAATATGGAAGTGCCTGGCCTAGCCTTTGGCTAATCCATTATCTTTGGGGCAAAAATCATTTTGAGGCAACAGTTCCAATGCTTAATTTTTAAAATGGCAGGTAGCAAATACCTTTTGTGGAAATCATCCACTTCCCGAAATAACACATAACACACAAACCCACAACAAAAGTCTCTCCTAATATGATTCATGTTTTGACACTCATGGTTAGCTAGAATTGTCACTTTGATATAGAGCAAAACAAACAAACAAAAATATTATGATCTTCCTTCTACTTTTTAAAGTAAAGATACATACAGTATGTAACACATACATACCCACCTTCCTATTCAATTTGGGGGTAAACTATGTTATGCAGAGGAGGAGAAATAAATGGTCAGCAAAAGAAACTGGAACCAGAGCTTCAAAAGAGGAATCGCTCAACTAAATTAAATTGATTCCAAAACCACTTACTGTACTTTCCCTTCGCTTTCGATCCTCACAAACCAGCTTTATTTATATCACACTCACACACCACTTCATGCACTTGCCTTTTGTTCTTTAAATATCTCATCTCTCTCTCTTTTTGCAGTCTCATTAAATTCATCCAACCACCTCTTTTT